ATAACTAAAATCACTAATGGCTTTCTCTTTTCTGTATTTGTTGATGTGAGTAATGCAATTGATAATTGCACATCAGCTCACCTCACTTTAAGATATCTGTGGTATGATTAGTATAACAAAATTGCAAAATTTCCCCCTGTGTTTCTTGGTGGGTTTTTTTGTTTTTGGGTTTTTTTTTAATTTGGTTTTTTTTTTTTTGTTTTTTTGTTTGTTTGTTTGTTTTGTTTTTTTTGTTGGTTGGGCTTTTCTTTGGTTTTGGGTTTTCTGTTAGTGTAACAGTTCAGTAGAAAAATTAAAGACTGTTTTAATGCCATCACAGTATCATTTGATAACAGAAAATACAACTCAAGGTACAGCTCAGAAGTCAGATGTGGTTTACTACACAGGCACCTGTTAACTGAAAATGAGAGCTGACATTACTCTAATGGAAATGCCCAGTGTATATTTATGGAACATTAATTCAGCCTATAATATTGCAGCTGTCAAAATCTATGGACATAGATTCCATTTCAAACATTTTCCTTTTCTTCCTTATAATTCACTTTTTTTTTTTTTTTTTTTTTTTTTGGTGTGTGTGTGTGTCAGAGACTTAAAAACAGGTAAGTTAAATGTCCCATTTGAACTATTTTCTTCATCTTCACATTCATTGCTTTTATGAGCCAGGTTGAGTGTTGTGGTGTGTTTTTCTTAAATTTGATATTTGTTCAGTGTCTGTTCACCCCACCCCCTCCAATCTCCTCCCTCCCTCAGTTGTCAATCTTCCCAGGCTCTTCCCTAACCCCCTCCTCTCCAAGTTGTCAATCCTCCCTTTCCCTGCCCCTTTCCCCAGAACATTCCCTGTCCCTTTCCCCAGAACATTCCCTGTCACTCCTCCCAGCCTCCTCCCCTGCTTCCAGAGCATTCTCTGTCTATTTAGTGAGTCTCAACACCCTATTGGTTACTTTCTGTTACTCCACTCCCCTGTTTCCCCTGATAGGTTTGTGATATGTTAGTCCCTTAGACTCCTCCCCAGCCCTACCCTCATTGGTTGCTGTTCCTATACCCCGCCTCTTGAGTTCCTGTATAAAACCTTTGTTCGCCCTCCTCGGAGGGTCTTGCGGCTCGCTGAATAAAGCCATCCTGTTCACCCCGAAGTCCCGTGTAGCCTCCGTCTATCCCCCTGCTGACAACTGGGACTGCAGAGCTTCACAGGGGAAGAGGCCGCCCGTCCTCTTCCCTCTCACTGCCCAGCACGCCACTGCTCGGGGTTATCGTGGTGAGAGAAGCTGCCCGCGTTACAACAGTTGAGCATCTCAGGCTTTTGAGAAAAACCCGTTTAATGCAATAGGCTTTTTCTCTCTGGCAGAGGAGTAGGACTGAGGTAATACCATATACACTGACAAAAGATTGTCATAAGTGGATGATGCTCACAGACTTTCCTCCTTCCCTAGGGAGAGATTTGAATAATGCAAGGTTAAGGGGCTTGGCATGTTACCTCAGGACAGCTGTTCCAGTCCTGCAGAACAACATGAAAAAAACATAGAGGCAGACTGAGATAGGAGGTGTTACCATACAAGCAATGCTTGTCTCACTGCTGTAACAGTGAGCACAAGGTGCAATGCTGGGACAGATGGATAGTGAGAAATCAGGAGAGAAAAGCACAGATCATAAGCCAGAATTGAGGAAAGGCTAGACAAAAGATCAAAGGTGTGTCACTCATAAGATTGAAACTGATCTTGAGTTCTTCTGGCTTTTTTATCCTCCTGACTAAAGCTGTGATGAAATAAGGCCAGTCAGGGACAGAGGGAGGTTTCAGGAAGACATTGGTCACTTAAGGAATGAAGCAGTGCTCAATGGTCTCAGTTGTGACATTTTTCAGAGGAAATGACAAAAGGTTAAACATCCAACAGAGAACTGAGGCAAGTGGGGCAAGTGGGGAGCCAGGAAAGAAGAAATGAGAAAAAGAGCATTCATATTGTCCAGGTGGGCTGTCGTAGCTGACACACAGGTTATAGTAGCCATCATAGATTTTCAGCCTCAGATAACTGGATTTAGCCACTTTTAATACTACAGAGGTACTTATTTATAACATAATGACTCTATTCAGGAAAATGACACGTCCTTAAGTAAACTTTGATAGGGAAAGGTATTTCTGTGCCTCAACTGCCTTTTTGTACCCTATTTTCTGTTCCACCTTTAATTCTTAACAGCTTACCCCTAATCACCATCTCTAGCTTTCACCAGTTTCATGTAAGTGTTCCTGGGTAATCATGTGTCGTCTATTATATGGTAAGTTGGTCCTTCTACACTCCTAATTTTTCTAGGATTTTTTGAATTTTTACAGCTTCCTCTTCACCTTACTATCTTGAAGGTGCTGTGTGATCTCATAAAGAAAAAACTTGTCATCTTGATCATATGAAATCTTCATGAATGCTTATTAATATGACATGTTTCTGTCACTGATCCATCACATCACAGCTGCACTTCAGTCTGCTGTCTTACAGATATAACTACATGTTAAGAAAACCATAATACTGGAGGATGTTATTTTTTGAATGAGTCTGTTTCAGAACTACTTATTCATGTTGAAAAGATAAAAACAGAGGTATGACTGTCAGTCAACATAAGGTTGCAAAGCTACTTTCTGTTAAAGCGGTTGAATTTTTGACCCAATAACATGTTAATTTTGGAGGGGGTTTCGAGGCTTTTTCAGGGACCCTATTTCAGAAAATAAGGTCAGTATTCTGAAGTTACTGACACTCATTTTTATAAGATAAGTGTGATGTCCCTCATCTGCGTCCACAGAGATTGACTGATTTATTCCAGTTTAAAAAATGGAAAATGGGAGAGTATGCTCTCCATCAAAAAGTCTCATGGCATAAAAACATTCAGAAGCCATCATTTTATGTGATGTGAAAAGTAATTAAATTCAACAACAGCATGACATCAGCAGTGGATAATTTTCAGACTTTAAATGTCATTCCTTTTAAACTCAAGAGTTGTTTGAGGTTTTTGTCTCCATTTCACAAGATAGAGTACAAAACATTGTGACATGCTTAATATTTCTTCCGCCAAGCCGTCCATTCTGATTTCATTCTCACCCTTTACAGAGTTGTTGATTTCAGCCTCCATTTGGCTGCCAAAAATGTGATTGCACACACAGCACCAAGAACAAAGTGAAAATGAATTATGCATTGGGAAGGAAGTTACATTTGAGTCAAAAAACTTAAGACTTCAGCACCTCCAAATTACAATATAATTTATGAGTGAATACATTTAAAGAGATAGCAACGGACTGAAGCAGGAGAGGGTCAGCCATGTCAAGGCTTAATATAATTTACAGTAGCTTTCAATTATTTATTTTTAAGAAGCCACTGAGCACACTAGATCTTTTCAGTGGTAATGTCAAAATATGGATATTGGTGAAAAGACATGAATAATTGTGACAGGTTTTTATGCATGATAATGGTATATGGGGACATTTAAAATATGGATCGCTCACTAGAGCAAAAAGCACATGTCATTTACTCTAAAAATACATGACTGTATGCTTAGTGGCTCTTCTCCTGCGCTACAAAAGTTTGCTGAACTTGATTTTTTTTTCTTCTCCCTTTTGTTTTAAAATGTTTTGCTTTGAAACAATGACTGGTGAGTTCAGATTTATTTCCCAGAAAAAAAAAAAACAGGCAGGGCTCTTTACAGTGACTCAAGCAGAATGAAAGGAAGCCTTTTAAGACTTCCAACTCATGAAGTCAACAATTACTTGCTTTTTATTTATCTGTTTCATAATATTATATCTAAAACAAGTGTGTGGCTTTTGACACAATAGAATGAACTTTGGAAGATCTCTTTTCAATTCTCTGAAAAGCTTCTTTCGCAGAAATAGGCAAGATTCTTCAGCACTGAATTTACAAAATGGTTTTTGATTCTCAGAATCCATATGTAATACTTGCTCTAATACTATAAACATCAAAATCAGTGAAACCTTGATTGTCGCTTGCAAAATGAGGTGGTCCAATGGCTATTTACTTAGGATTCAAATCTGTGCCCAGACCTCAGAAACCAGGTGAGGTGCCTATTGAGGTGCCTCCAGCCACCACTCCAGACTGAAACAGACCCCCTATAGTTTCTACATCATATCTGTCTGTTCCAGGCAGATCTTAAATACCTTAAGATAACAATTTAGACGATTTTATGTAGTTACTTGAAATCTGGATAGTTGTGTGCCATGTGTCTCTGAAGTGACCGCACTGCTCAGCATTTTCAGATGGTGCTTTTTGGATCAGCTTTGCTCATCAGATTCCAGGGGACAACAGAGTCTGAAAACTAGACTCTAGACTAAAAATAAGTTGTTCTTCCTTGGGTTACCACCAGCATTTTGCCTCCATCCAGCCCATGTGGTTTCATTAATGTTTGGGGGAAACTTACCTGGCCTTGGAAGTGGCCCTCCACCTCCAAGTGGTTGCCCCCTCCTGTGGCTGTGTGCTCTCACCACAGGTATATATGGTACTTAACTTTCCTGTAAAGGCTGATCAGAAGCAGAAAATCAGCATATTTTACAATAACAAAAGTGAGAGTTAATGAAGTATTTTAATACATTGGGACTGGTATTTAGTGCTTCCTCCTTTTTTAGTTCATTGGTTTCTATGCCTCTCTTTCATTGTGTTTCTCTCCTTTTTCTGCTCTTTCTTACCAAGCTAGAAATGTACTGAAGAATATCTGATCACGCAGAGGAGATTCCCTCCTGAGGTGTGAGAATTCTGGTCTCATAAATTAAACACTTTGAGTATTTAAAGAGAGATTTTTCAAAGGATTTGCTACAACTGCTGAGCATTTAAGGTAGAGTGCAAATACTTGCAATCCCTTTCCATGTTTCTGTTTTCCATGAAAAACAAACAAACAAACAAAAAACCAAACTGTGTTATGACCTGCTGTAGTTCTGAATTCAAGAAAAAGAAATCATAGGTTACAGTCTAAGGTAGAGGAAGGAAATCTTCCGCTGGAAATTTGTATTGCAATAGATAAATTAATTTTTTAGAGTGCTCATGGTTCTAAGTAAACCACTCAGATCTTGGCATCTGAAGACCCCATACTTATGTATCTCTCCCTAAACATTGCATAAAAGCTCTAATTGCCTTAAAGCTATGGCATCTTGTCACAACCTTAAGAGTCACATCAATCCCACTACTATTGTTATTGCCAATACTAAGAGTAGTCCTAATCTAATTAAACGTGGACCTTACGCCTGAGCTAGTAATCCTTTGGCTCTCTTAAGCACAGCAGAGAAATAGTTACTTTTAGGGTGCAATGTACCTTACTCTTAACTAGAAATCCAAAATATGTCAGCAAACAAGACTGATTTTCTTCAAGTGTGGGGGGTTTTGACTTTTGGGTTTGTTTTTATTTTTTTTTTAGAAGATTATAAAAGTAATGTTAAAATTAGCTGAGGACTAGCACAAAAGGCATAGGCACCTACAATTACCTGACGTAAATCATTCTTTATTTCTCTGTTTTAACTTAGCTCTTTGTTAGAGACAAAATGTACTTTTCTTAAATAAAGAACTATGAGGGGTAGTTTTGTCATTTACCAGTTTAGGAAAGCATTGACCTTCATTTTGTACTTTGTGAATAAATTTGGGGGGTTTTAGGGGATGTTTTTTTGTTTTGTTTCAGTTGATTTTTTTGTTCATGAGGGATTTTTTCTTTGCTTCTTTTCTATTTTTCTTCTATTTTTTTCTCATCAATGTTTTTCTTTTTTTTTTTTTTTAATTAGTCTTATTCTCTAGGGTTTCTTTATTGGAGAGAAAGTGATCATGACCTTTATTGTCTCATCAGCTGCCATGCTGGTAGAGACAAGCAATAACTGAAATTGAAGAGATATTTAGCTATTGAATCCTACAACTGTTCATGCAAACTCCTCTTATATGCCAGGACAGCATGCTGTTGGTTGTTTTTCATGGTGGTTTTTTGTTTTTTTTTTTTTTTTTTGTTTGTTTTATCAAGTTAGCATAACTGGTTCATATTGTCATCAACAGATCAGAGCAGACCAAGTGACAAAATCTGTCTGTGCATGAGATAAGTCACCACTTTATTGTCAGCAATAGTGTGGAATATCCAAAGACATTATGAAATAAGGAGAAAATAACTTACTAATTCATTATTGATTTTCTGGTATGATCTTGTCTGATATCACAACAACACAAGACAAAATGAGAATTATCTGATCTTTGGTTTATCAATAAATCTCATTTGTTAGAAAGTGTCACAAACCTAAGCCGAATCCTACAGCTAAGTAGCTTCTTAACTGTTGATTCTGCACTGATTTTGTCTCGTCTTTGCAGATATTGAAGACCACTGTGTCTGATTATTGGCCATGAAATACAAACTATCATGGAGGTCAGGACTGGATTCTTGTGGTTTGGATTTTCACAGGGAGTGAACATTGTGAAGAACAGTGAACTAGTATCATTCAGATATTGTTCAAGAACATAATTTAAGAAAGGTAGGAACAAACAAGGCACATGTGTCCTCAGACAAGTTTTGCATACTGTCAAAGGGATTTCAATATTGTCTTTGTGGCTGCCCCCACAAGAACATGGAGAATTGAGAAAGCCAGCAAAGTGGGAAATTAACATCCACCTCACCTGGTCCAAGTCTTTAATCTTTGCCCCAGTTCATGACAGCAGAAAAAATAAAAACACCCTCAAGCCAGAAGAGAACAGTTCCTACTTTCTACCATGAGCCGTATAGGGACAAATAATGGGTTCCAAGTTGAGAACTGCACAGATTGATAGAAGTATGAGGGATAAATAAACCCCTTTTCTCCTTTCAGTAAATTACTGTGTTGTTCCCTTTATGGAAAGGGAGTTAACTGGCACCAAGCTGTTTATCTTCTTCAAACACACATGAGCTATAACCAGTGTCATTCATCACTCAGTCCATGGGCACTGCACCTGTGAAAAGATTGGCCTAGAAACCAATGGTAAGGATTGTCCAACCTAGTTTCTTATAAGACAAGACATTTAAATCCTACTGCTTAAAAATGCTGGATTTGCTGAGGTTTGTAGCAACAGTCCATCATGAATAACGTTTGCCCAGCAACCCCAGAAACCAAGGCTGCCTTTTACCAACAGCTACCCTTATAAAGCAACATTCCTAAGACGAGTCCTTTGAGTCAAATACCTCAAAAACAAAGGGTTTTTCTGATGCTCTTCAATCTACATTTGGAGTTGCCAGTCTATGCTTTGCAAACTCCACATTTTCCTCACGAATCGTGTAAAACTCTTAAGCTTTAATGGTCTCTCACACTCTCTTTCCTCAAGTGAGTCTACCCTTCAGGAAGATTTATGCCTACCTGTCAAAAGCTGATAGATTTCTATCTCTCTTTCTTTCTACCTCTCTTTTCTTTTTCTACCCCCTGAAGTTTCAGAGCTGGTTGTCTATCTTTAACAGTTTATTTTCCATAAATACACAGTGAGCATCTCACCCTTTCCTCAACGCTGGAGCACATTCTGCTTTCATATGCAAATCCTCTCAGTCAACAATGAAGCAGGAATATGTTTAAACAAGAATAGAGATAGCTAATCAATGTACTTCCCTAAGATTATTTATTCTTGAGTTGCTGAGTCTGTCTTTGCTTGGTCCTTGCTCATTTACAACTCTTGTGAATGTCTAGGGAAGTTTAGTTTGTGAAACAACTGGGAGAGTTGTAAGAGTATTAGCATAGGATTTTGTATTATTCTATTATTATATCAGAGATATCACTAGAGTGGACTCCTGAGGGTATAAATACACTGCAGACTTCTTATTACCATCCTTCTATTACCATTGTGTATTTTTTCCCAAATCGGGTGCCTGTTACAACTTTTTCTGGAAATCTGGGCAGCCCCACAGCATCATAAGGATATTCCAGGAGTGCATGTAGTACTGTGCATCTCTAAGGGACTGACACTGGCTGGTTCCAGACACCAGCCACAGCCACTCTCCCAGCTCTTTAACTGGACAGGGGAGAGAAAATATAACACAAAATTAATGAATTAAGGACAGGGGGAGATCAGTCACCATCATGGGCAAGACTGACTCAACTTGGGGGTATTAACTGAGTTTATAACCAACAAAAGCAGAGCAGGATAATGAGAAGTAAAGAAAATCTTAAAATAAAATTCCCCAAATGTCTCCCTTCTTTCCAAACTCTACCTCTTTCCCCTTAGTGTTGCAGGGAATTGGGAATGGGTTTATGATTAGCGCATCACATGTTGTTCCTGTTGCTGCTCAGGGAGAGAATTTGAAATTTTTCCCCTGCTTCAGAATGACATTCTTCCTGTGTGAGACAGTTCTCCATTAGTTACTCCAAAGTGGGTCGCTCTTTCACAGGGTTCAGTCCTTCAGGAACAGGTAGCTCCAGTGCAGGACGCTACAGGTCACAAGCGCTATCAAAAACCTCATCCAACCTGGACTTCTCTCTCCACTGCAGGTCTGCAGCTCTCTGCCAGAAGCCTCCTTCCAGATAGGTTCCCTATGGGTTGACACCTCTCCTCTGGGCATCCCCCTGCTCCAGCCCGGGCTCTCCCTGGGCTGCAGGGGCACAGCTGCCTCACCATGGGCTGCTCCAGGGGCTGCAGGGGAATCTGAGCTCCAGAGCCTGGAGCAGCTCCTGCCCCTCCTTCTGCACTGCCCTGGCTGTCTGCAGGGCTGCTCCTCGCACATGGTCTCACTCTGCACTCTTCTATGACCAGAAATATGTCTACATTATATGTTTTTTTCTTCCCTAATATGTTATCACAGAGGTATTACCATCATTCTTAATGGGCTTAGCCTTGACCAGCAGTGAGTCCACCCTATACCAAACTGGCATTTGCTCTGCTGGACATGGGGAAAGTGCTGCCTCTCTGAGCAGCATCTCAGAGAAGTCACCAGCTCCTCCAAAAAAAAGCTAGCAAAACCTGGTCACACAAACCCAGTACAGGATCTCAGGCCTGTTTTCCCTTAGCTCCATTTAACTGGTTCAATTAAAATACTTCCATTTCAATGTATTGCCTTTCTTCCTACTCATATATTTTTAGAGGGGATTCTGATGTCTCTAGGTCATCCAGTTTCTTAGATCTGCAGATATGTGTTCAGAAATACAAATATTAATTATTAAATATTGGTATATAAAAGACTCTTTTCCAGCCGTACAATCTTTACAAGTGTGAAAGAGTTCTATTGTGGCAAAAGGATTTCTCATGATTTTGATTACCCTATGACTATTGAAAATGTATTTAATGAGTGTTCAGTATTTTCAGCCTGTACCATTAGATCAGAAAAACATATTTCTAATATTTCTGCTAAATATGTCAAAGTACTAGATTCTGTCTTTTTCATTAAAATGTTGGGCTGTAAGAACAAAGATGAGAAATACCTATAGCTTCATTGCTTTTCTACTTACTGACAGACTAGGATTCTTCCCACTAAGATATTTTAAATCCTGATTTAAATGTTCAGACTGAGGGTGAAAAGATTATCCAACAGTGTTAATGTCAAATTTACTTTGCATGAAGTGCACTAGAAAGGAAAATTCGCCTTAACAAGGATCAGCATTATATACTAAAACACTTGCACAAAACTACATTGATTAATTTAAAAGACTTTGAGAATATATGTACATGTTCACGAGTGTTTTTTATTTAAGGTATGTGACATTTATGGTTATTCCTCAAGAAACACTATACCAGGAGCATCATGATTCCTTGCCTACACAAGCCCAAGCCAGATCTTCAGCTTCTGTTCATTAGAGGCTTCCTGGGAACGATGGGATATTTCCAGGGTTAAATCATGATCCTGAAATTCTCCTTATTTATTGGCAAAAATGATTGCTTCATAAAATTCTCATGTTCAAAGGCTTAAAAGCACTTAGAAATGACAAATGAGTTTTGCATGGACAGTCAAAACAAAAGCTTTTCGCAAACAAGTAAGCAATTTTCCCATCTACCACAGATCGTGACAGAGCCCTTGTGTGTCCTTAAGGATTCAGACATGGTTTCCCATGACTGTTAATGTTTCCAATTAAAGCAATCCTCTTGTTATCAGAGGGGATGTTGGGCAAGTAGCAGTTTCCCAGTATGAATAAGTAGTGCACAGCTGGCTCTACATCTCCTCAGTATGCAACAAAATAGAAGTAAAAACCTGTGCATGTGAAGGCTCTGTGCTAATTATTGCTAATTCCAGCAATAAACACAGAAATTGTACAGTGACATGCTGAATGAGCTTTTCATCCCTGCATTTGTGCTAAGAGACTGAGTTGGACTCAATTCAGGTAGCAGACCCGTTTTAGTGAAGCAATGCTTTGGGGCTTATATTAAAGGGCAAAATAAAACATAATGCTTCCCTATCTCCAGCTTCAGAAACGACACTTGCTGTGTATTTCAACCTCCTTTTGAGGTTTGTATTGGCAGAACATCAGTCACTTTATGTCTACAGTACCACTCTTCATAGCTCTAAAAGTGTTTCATAGAAGCCAGTAACACCCTAATTTTGAGCACCAGCAGACAAATTATGTGTTCAGAAAACATGCCTTAGTTCTTTGTTTCAAAACCTAGTTGATCTAGTTTGTTTTAAAGCAGGTTGGGTTTGTTTTTTCTTTTTTGTTTGTTTGCTTTTTTATCACTCCTTGTAAGCTGCATTGTTAATTAATAATTTATGTTCCCGGAGCAGCAAATTGTTACTACATACATATATATGCTGTTTTGCTCTCTTGCTGTCCCTCACAAGAACATGATTAATATGAATATTTTTTACTATGCATTTATACTTGAATCCAATGTTTAAGTGTTGAAATCAAGAGCTGAACACACTGAATGCTTCCTATGGATTTTTCTTTGCATTATTTTTTTAGTAACTCATTGCATAATGCTCATATTTAAATAAATCATATAACTGATGAATTGAAGCATTATTCAGCATAAATTACCTCCAAATTCTGAAAAAAAACTGCTGATACATTTTTTTCCAGAGATTATTTGTTTCTCATTTGTGAAAACTAAGGCAGAAGTCACTGGTTTCATATTCAAGATAAGGCACTCATCTTGGTGTATTTTTCTAACCTTGGGTCTGTCACAGTTTTCCATACAATTAGAGAAGAAATTACGTGATTGAAATTTTGTGATTTCGTGATCTTAAAAATGTGATTGAGAGGAGCTAAGTGCCAGTGACTCTACTGTAAACCAATGTATCTCAATGGGATTCTTTGAGAGAGGAAGAAATCTCCTTTCCAGTACAGCTTGGGGGTCAGAATATTTCCTGTAGAACTGGGGTAAAACACCCTCAAAAGCCTCCATTGAACTGGGTTTGAGATGAGTTTAAGCTTCCATATCCCAAATAAGCTTAAATGCCTCTTGCCTGAACAGAAAGGTTTTTGTAGCCGATGTGCTGCAGCTAGATTGTTTAATCTACCAAAAAAGCCTACATATATCATGTTGGACTAAAACACCAATGTAAAAGAGTGAGTTAATCTTATGGAGTTATCTTCCTGCATTTTAGAGTCTCTTTTTAGTTATGTTTACATGTATAATCTAGGAGAGAGTATCCCTTAGTAGCGGGCAATTAAATTCTGCTTGATTGTTCTGCCTCTGGTTTACACATTTTATGTTGCTTTACTGCACAGTGACCCAGATTTAGCAGCAGTGATGGATCATGCACTGGCCTCTGGCTGTTCCATAACGTGGTTGGTAAAGCACACTTTTGGAGGTGAAATCCATGGTCTCCATCACCCACATCTGCAGAGCTGAAAACAGTTTTGGCATAGCCTGGGACAACTTAGGATCTGTAGGCCTGTGCCACAGAGCTTTGAACTAATGCCAAAGATTATTCCTTGGTAGAAGAGCTACATGTGACAGACCATGGAGAGTCAAAAGCAGCACAGTGGGGTGGTAAATATATCTGATGTGACTGGCTACAGCATCATGCCTTGACCACTGGTCCAGCAACAATTCCTCATGCCTTTGATGCTGACAGTTGTGATAAGCTATCAAGAGTTCATTTTTTGGTGTGCTATCTTGACTTTCTTTCTTCTAACAATATATTACCAACTTGAATTATTTCAAAAGAAGTTTTCTCTTCTGTTAACAAAGTAACTGAAAGAGAGAAAAGATCCGTTGAAGGCAGAAAATGAGTAAGTGTAATGTACAAAGAGTAGTTTGTCACAGCAGTTATATCTCTATTTGCACTTCTGCTATTATTAATATGTGCACTTAGAAACATGAAACAAACCTTAAAGCTTTTTTTTTTTTGCAGAGCCTTAAAGCTGATTAAATCAAATGCAGATGCAGAACTGGTGCAAAACAGATGCTGAAAAACCATGTCAATATCCTAAAGGAATCCATTCCGTATCAGAAGGAAACTTAATTTCTACTATAAAGAATTTGATTATGTATTGTTATACCAAATGTGATTAATGTTTTGTGGTGATTAATCAACTGCAAAATATATAATTATGCCATCTGTATTTTTCCAGCTTCTTGTCACTTAAGAATTACACTGAGGAGTGGGAGGTGGGATAATGAGCACTGGTGGCATTTAGAGTGCTTAAAGCTACGCTCCAAAAGCCTGAGGAATCCACTACCAAAAAGAACTGGCATTTATTCTAATAGCAAAACCTCTAAGCGTATTAAGTAAGAACCCAGAAGACCCATTGGCTTGATAGCTACTTATGTGGAAGACCCAGTTATGGAGTTCAAACAGCCTGGGACCCATGAGGGCTTGCTCCAATTCAAAGGTAACCTATTAAGACCCCAGGAGAGTATTCAGAATTTGACTTTTGGACTACCTCCTGCTGTCTGATTTATGAAACAGACCTGACACTGATGCAGGGATCATCGACTGTCTTCTGGTTGCATGTAAAGTGAGGTATATTTGCAGTGACAGTTGCAAGCAAAGAATAACTCTAACTACTTACATATATTTTATTTTTTTTCCCTCCAGGGAAAGCAATTATTTAGGTTCAGATCTGAGGTAAGACACTTGGCCCACAAAATCATCTATCAAACCAAAGAGATGCCTTTTCAAAATGTCATGCAGAATTAAGGTAAAAGAGGTAAAAATCAAGCTTCCTTTGGGAAGCTGGTACCAACACAGTACAGAGTGGTCAGTATCAGTCTTTTATCTATTCTCAAATTAAAATACATCATTTGGGAGATTCAGCCTTCATTTATTTGGTGTTTGCAGAGGGAAGAAAATGTGAAGAATTAATCCAGAATCTTAATAATTCCCACATGCTTGTAATAAAAGTATTCTAGTAATATTTTTTTTACTTGGGTCACTTGTTTCCTTTTTTTTTTTTTTTTTTGAATAATATAATGATTATGTAAAACATGGCCTAACATTGCTTTCCATTTTTATCTATCTCATTTAACATTGTTGAAAATTAACATTCTGGAACATGCTGAAATTCAACAGAGCAAAGGCAGGTCCTGCACCTGGAGAGGAACAATCCCAGGCTCCAGCACAGGCTGGGGGTGACCTCCTGGAACAGCTCTGAAGGGAAGGTCCTGGAGGTCCTGGTGGACAACAGGTGGTCCATGAGCCAGCAGCACTTTGGTGGCCAAGAAGGAAAATGGAATCTATTGGAAAGAGCATTCCCAGCAGGTCAGGGTGGGGATCCTGTCCTCTGCTCTGCCCTGGTGAGGCACATCTGGAGTGCTGTGTCCAAGTCTGGGCTCCCTGGGAGCTCCTGGAATAAGTCCTATGGAGAGCTACAAAATTCATCAAGGGAGTCTTTTGAGGATCTTCTCTCCTATGAAGAAAGTCTGAGGGAGCTCAGTCTTTTCAGACTCGAGAAAAAAACACTGGCAGGGGACCTCTTCAATGTGTATGAATATCTAAAGGGGAGGGGTTCAAAAGGATGGGCCAGGCTCTGCTCAGTGATGCCAGCTTACAGGAGAAGCGTCAATGCGAAGAACTGGTAAACAGGAACATCCACCTGAATATGAAGAGTTTCTTTACTGTAAAGTGATGGTGCTGGAACAGTGCATCCAGAGATGTTGTGGACTCTCCCTCACTGGAGATATTCCAGAACCATCTGGACATAATCCTGTGCCAGGACTGAAGCAGGGATCTGGGATGAGATGAGCCGCTGTGGTCTTTTCCAACCTGAAACATTCTGTGGTTCTGTGATCTCCAAGGAAAGAGAAGATGAATGCAGGCCCATGTCTGTACTGTAATCATGATAATGGTGTAGTTTTGAATAAAAGATTCATGGCATCAGGTAGAAACTAAATGTTAAGAGCTTGAAATTGTGATCTATTTGGTGTTTTTATTTTGCACTACTTGAGACATTAAACTGGATTTAATAAACTTCAAAAATACTCATGAGTTTACTTAAAAGTCTTAAAAAGGAGCAATATGTTTTCACATACACAGGTATTCACTGGCATTTTAGACACCCATCATAACTGTTAAAGCAACTGCAACTCCAGAAGACCATGAACACCTCAGAAATATTGTGTCATATTTGCTAGTTCCTTTGTGGATAACTTGGATATCAGGGAAATGACACTACATGCTTGTTTAGGTATTTGGCCCACCCTGTGTCTTTCAGTATATGGATCTCTGTATCTATCAGCCTTTGAATTCTCCCTTTGAAAAGACTTTGGTCTTCCTTCTTGTGTTCTGTTTCTCCCTTGACTTTTTAATTTGTAAATTATCTATACAAGGTCCAGTATTCCTGATCTTTTAAGTGACTGGTCATTATTGGTTGAGGACACTTGCAATCCCCCAAATCAAAAAAAAAACCACAGTGATGTTACTGAAGTCAGTCTCTGGCAAAATTCATGAAGAAGGGAAAGATACAGACTGATAAAGAAAAATAAAGATTCTTCTTACATGAACACATGCTTTGGTAGTGAGCAATAACAGGGGAAAAATAAACTTCAATAGAAGTTGAGTGACTGTTTGAGTTTGGTTGATATATACTTGGTTTTAGAGTTACCTCAATGAGTCAGTGTTTTATTCCTGGCTGGCAGACAGTGTGAATACAGCAGAAGTAGTATAATGGTTTGAAATATCAGTGCAATTATGTTTGAGGATCAAGTACCTTTTAAACATCCTTCCTGGTGAAGAAAAGAAAGGGAAAAAAAGGAAAATAAAAATAAAAACAAAGGAAAAAAAAAAAGAGTGGAGATGTCAAGAAATAGAATATAGAGAAAGCCCACTTCTAAACCAAAAATTGATAATGAAAATACAAAAATATTTGGAATCGTAGTTCTCTGTATAAAGTGAGATCGCTAGGTAGTGGCAGTGCCCCATTTTGTGTCCACTCCTGTAATTTTCTCCCTTCTGTGAGTCCTTGCAATTGCAGAACATTTTGAACATCAGCAAAAGCAACTGCTGTCACAATGTCATCATCATCACCCCTTGTTCCTTCCTGAAGTACTTACAACTTGCTAGTTACAAATATTTCTCTCAAGCTGTTGATACAATTTGGATGGAATTTATTAAATTACAAGTGTGTGATTGAGTGAAGTATTAAAGAGTGCATGTGTATGAATGATTAGATTAAATAATGTGAATTAACATAGGAACAGTAAATCAACATTAGGAAAGTGGTTACTGGAGTCTCCCTTTATCATCAAAGAAAATAAACTCCACAAAGGATGATTCAGACCAATGGTGATTTTGCCTGGAATTTGCACTCTAATTTTCATGTTAATAGAAACACAGTATAATTGCATTGATTTCAGTGCTGATGAGACTTTTAATTGCTGGTGATGATGAAGGACTATTGGTTCCAGTATGCTCCCTTTTTCCAACCATTCTTTCAAAGTCAAGTGCTCTAATTCTAAAGAATGGAGAAAGTTCTCGACATCATACTTCAGGGAAGCCATGTACACTCTTCTGTAACTGGAAATGAAGAGGGAAAAAAGCCTGATGACCCAACAGGTCATTCCTTTTACTACTTTTTGTGATTTCCTGCCAGTCCTGTCTTCATAAGTCTTGATTAAATATTCAGAAAAATCATTACTTATACATAAAGCTATTAATTTAACAGTGCTTCAAATAAAGCAGACTACAAACACTTTGTTAAAGGAAGGCAACATTCAAAAGATACCATATCTTTGAGTCCCAATTAAGCCAGATCATTAAGGAAATATATTGCAATTAAGTTTACATCCACTGGATGGAACTTGTTGCCAGATAACAGGAACCTCTCAAGTGTAGGTGTATTTATTTTTTTTAATCAGTGGTATTATCACAGTATGAGATCATTATTTCAGATAGAATATAGCCAAACATTATTGAATTCTGAAATAAAAATTAAGTGTCAATTTACCTAATTAAAAATTATAAGTTCAAGCTTACTATTACAAATGAAAACAAATATGAAAACTATTTGGTGAGAAGGCATTCTTTAATTTTAAATGCATACATATACACATCATCAGTATTAACTCCTAGAGTACTGTGGGGCAGTAGATTTATTTCTCTCATGCACACTGTGCTAAGGATGTAAGAGGTCACCTCATTCTGACTCAAAGATTAACTAGTGATCCACAGTTAGTTTTCTTTATCTTCTTCAGTGACAATTTCAAATGATTTCTTCAATCCTCAGTTGTATCTGCTCCATTTAGGAGATACGTATGATCTCTGAAACTCTCATTTCAGCATAAAATTACTGTCCTGTATCTTACGCTTACAACTCTTACGACTGTCTTTTGATTTCTGCTACATCCAGCTCTTGCCCTATTCAGAAACTCACAGTTTTCAACATAAGAAGCTGCTGCTTTAATTGAACCAATTTTCTAAATTGCACAATTGCCAGCACTGGATACATTTCAAGATCAAGAACACCATTTCCACGTAGTTAACTTTTCAATCCCTTTGTTTTCTTCCATCATTATCCCAATGTTACTTTTCCCTGTCCAGCCTGCATATACAGTTGCAAGATATAGAAATCAGAAATTGGTATAATTGTCTCTCATTCCTTTGAAATCTAATTGTTTTTCTTTCAAGGATCCCACCCTGAGCTTGAATATGGCAGGCTTTTCTTTTTGTCTAGAATTCTGCCTCCTGCATTTGGTGAGCACTACTTCCCACCAGGTGTTTTTTAACAGAAAACTCAATAGACTGTGAATAGTTTGGGATTTCCTCTGAACTGGAATGAAACATGAACAAGGACATTCTTAAACTGCGTTTTTCTTAAGACTTTATAATAGAGTCTGATAAAACAATGAGAGCAAGTTAAATTTTGAAGGGCATAGCAACTGGACTGACATATGATATTCTTCGTGAGAACTACTCACTGATTATATCATTACAGGAATGATGTCGATCTTTTCACATACTGGACTCAAATTAGGTTCATAAGCAAACCCCTCCGTAAAGAAAAAAAAAAAGTGAATTTATTCTCACTGCGTGCAGCAGTGTTCTGAGTGTGAATACATTTTCAAGAAGTAAATTTACCCTGAACTATAATACACAGAACCTTGGTGTTTTAATGGCTAACTTTACCACAGATACCAGGTGTTCTCATCCAGCTTGGCTTCATAAGGCAGAGGAGGTGGATTAACACATGAGAAAGAATTTAATCATGGAAGATGCTTTGATCACAGGTTGCAGTACTACACCCCAAAGTGTTATTTGATTCTCATTTTCTTCTTTTTATTTTGTCTTTATTTTTCCTTCTTTTTTTAATTTTTTTTGTTTATATGTGCTTTATAGGTGTTGCTATCATATAACTACACCACAAGGCTGAGGATTGAGAAATAAAGTTGTAAGTCAAGTCTCTGGATGAAAGGTACCTTTTTGTTAAAAACATGCACAGAAATTTGTCATAAAATAATACACAAGACATTCTAAATAACTTATTAATAAGTAACACCTTCTTTCTGGTGATTTCTTCAGTAATAGGATATAAAAAATATTTTTTGTTAGGCTTAAAAAGTACCTACACTTTGAAAACATAAAATTTTCTGTGTCAGTTCTTATAATTTATCATAAAAAAAAAAAGAGAAGACAATATGCGTCTTTGGATAAAGGAGAAGTTCAACAACTCTTTAGAAAAAGAACACCTTCTTTCCTTTTTAAAAATATTTGTTTAGGGAGGGGAGAAGCTAAACTATAAAACCCCTTGAAAACTAGTTTTTCATTTATCCACTCAGACAGCATCAATAGCAACAATTGAGTTTTCCTTCAGTTA